CCGTCCTACAGGTGGTGGTGTTAGATGGACCGGTGTCAGCCGAGAAAGGCCTACAAAGCTAGCTCCATCCTGTGACCTGCAGAGTAGGGACAAGCGGAAGAAGCGCAGAGCGGCGGTTCTTCCACACACGGCGCGTTTCTATACCCGAACGCCGGGGTTTTTTAATTTCATGAAGCGATAGAGCCCTCTCATAGGATGTGTGTGCGGTGAACATGTGGATGCAAATGTGTGATGCAATGCCTCGTTTAGAAAAATACGTCCCGCACTTGAATCGCATGTTGGCCACCACCAGGAAAGAACGATGGTCATATTGCCGTGTAGGAGAGAAGCACCAAGTACTTTGGTCACACGATGAGCAGGCTTGTATTTCTGCTGTTTTCGGTTACGATCGTCCGTGTGTGTGTCTGTGTTTCGAGTCAAGAGTTACCCAATGTATCTGGTAAACGGTTCCAGAACCTTGTCTGTGTTGTTGTTGTCTTTACAATAAAAACCATGTGGAAATGGTTTATCTTTCCAGACTGTGAGCTTACTCTTCGTTTTATGTTGTTCCACTCTTGTCTGGACTTTGGGCTGTGTATCGTTGCAACTGGTCATCGAGCGGACAATATTTTGTTCGAAAATATGCTACATTTTTGCGAGTGATTTGCTTGTCTTGGGGAGGGATGTGGGGTTGTATATATTTCTACATTTTAGTGCGTGCGTGCCGTGGGCACATGTTGCTTGTGGCCTTAGATGTGTTATGTCTCTCCAGGTGGGTGGAAATTAAACGCTCAACGATCTGTTGTACGAGTAAAGCAAGAGTCGTTTTCGTCGTTGCACCCGCTAGGCATGCCGGGTTTCAGCGTCCTCTTAGCAACGGCGGCATCGCTACCGCGTGCGAAAGGGGCTCATGGTGAGATTGGAGTGATATACCGCAAGTGGTTCACGGTTGATCGCGTCATGCGTGGCGGCGATTGGAAGGAAGAGGTCGAAGAAAAAGGGTCTGTTTCGAGAAAAAAGCCGAAACAAGCATGCCAGTGTTGTCGAAACGCTATACCAGTACCATGAGCTACCGCCCGTAGTGGCAACATCATTCATCCCTCAACTGTCCCCGCCGTCGCCAACACCCAGTACGATCACGACGGTGGACATAGATCATCACCTGACTACACCAGAACACAAAACCCAATTCCAACAACCGCCTACAACCCACTAGCTTGTTGCAGGAGGCAAAGACAGTGAGCGGACGTGCGGTCGGCTTCTGACTACACCAGAACACAAAACCCAATTCCAACAACCGCCTACAACCCACTACCTTGTTGCAGGAGGCAAAGAAAGTGAGCGGACGTGCGGTCGGCTTCCACGACCGCCTTCCGTGAGGCTCGGCTTCGAAGCAACGACTAGATGGTCTCTGGACCAAGCTTGACTGGATGGAGGACATTCTCTATCGGTGACAAGAATACGACAAAGATATGCTTATTCTCGTCACCGGTGGAGAGCGTCTTCCGTTGGATGAATTTTGATCCAATGACCATCTTGTCGTTGCGGTCAAGGTTGAGCCCCACGAGGGAATCGGTCATGGAGGCAGGCGGTAGATGGCCCGCTCAAGTGTCTTTACCTCGTGCAACACTATAATGGTTGTTTGACCGCCTTGGGGTGTTTGTGATGTGAGTTGGTACTTCCCGCCATCGGGAGGGGGTGGAACAGTTGGCCGGCCATTGTCGTCGTCGTCGTCGTTGTTGGGATTGCGGAGGTGGTACTGTTGTTGCAGACCTTTCGTTGATTGGTAGCTCGTGCTGCGCAGGTGGAGTCAACAGAGAACCCTATTATTGTGCCGGAGATGAGAAAACGGAAATACCACTCTCGCGCGATCTTTCGTTGATCGGTATGGTACGTTCTAGCGAGAAACTGGAATCGGCCATCACAGGAAGAGCATCGTCGAAACTCCATGTAGCTGTTTCTGACGCACGGTACTGCTCGGGGTTGTTGACTTCAACATTATTGCTCTGTTGCTACTTTCTGTGTCGTTGATAACAGCGTCGTGGTAGTATCGGTAGGTTAACAACATCCTCCCGAGCGACTACAAGGACTTCGAAATGATGAAGGAGGCGATCAATTCTTAGCTTCATTATTTTTTAGAAAGGGAATTTTCCCTTCCTGTTTGACAACGACCTGAGTCAACAACGTCTGATCAATTTTCAAGGTCACTCGGAGGGCACAAGGTACTCCGACGGGGATTGAACTGCGGCAAACGCGACATGCGGAGGCGAGCATCTCCTTTCGGTGAACACCCACGAAACGATTAATACGATATTGCCGTGTGAAACGCGCGCCGGGTTTCTCCGCTGGGCGCGACTGGTATCCGCTATCCTGTCTCTACCTCAGGTATGCCAGCGGCGTTTTCGGTGGTCGTCAGCATGTGTAGGGGGTATTTCACCTCGTTCAGAGCGTCGTTCAGAGAGAAGAAGTTGGCACCCACGGGGGGCACATCACGGCGAACTTGCCTTCGGAGGTGAGGATCTGTTATTTGCTGCACACAGACTCTCGCGTCTGAATTTATCGTTCAACGCGATTCGATCCCCGTCGGCGCTAAATTCTGCCCTCTGATTGACACGCTCTGGGCGAGGTGCAGCACCCCATTAAACATGCTGACGAGCACTAACAGCACACCGCTACAGCACCCGAAACTACAGACAAGATGCCGGATACCAGGTGTATGCAGCAGAGATCGGAGGCCCGCGTCCACACGGAATGTCGTATTCTCGCCATATGACCAACCAGAGGTGAATGACGCAGACAATGGCCGGAATGAGGGCACACGCCTTGGCAAGACTTACGTAAATGACGTCGTAGCTGGGTATGGGTACGTAAGCAGTCTCCAGGGCGACTCTAACGGCTTCCAAAATATGATAGAGGAGCATTATTGTTTTAGGTTCAGTCTACAGTACCATGCTGTTCGATATCAACCTGAGTTAACTTCTGACCCCAAAAGCCTCTCAGTCCTCTGGCGTTTTAACGAGAAAGGCGCTCAGAGGGCAGACATTAGTGCCGACGGAGGTCGTATTGCGGCAAACAGGACAATCGGAGGCGTGTATCTGAATGTAGCTGAACACACACGATAAGATGATACGACATTGCTTTGTCGCGTGGGCGCGCGCCGGCGATCTCGGATAGACATCCTTGGTAATGCTCATCCTGGCTGTACTTTGAGGTACTGCAGCGGCGCTATCGGTGTTCGTCAGCATGTTGATGGGGGTACTTCACCTCGTCTAGAGCGTCGCTCAGACGGCCGAAGGTATCACCGACGGAAATGGACTTACGGCAAACGGTACGATCGGAGGCAGGTATATGTTCTTAGATGAAAGTTGTCGTGGAACTTCAGCTATAAAATAGATAATCGCCGACGAATGTACTGTTCACCGTGATTCGAGCCTCGTCCGTGCTATGTTCGTTCCTCTGAGCGACGCTCTGGAAGAGGTGAAGTACCTCAATCAACGTCGTGACCAACACCCACAGCGCCGGTGCCGTACGTCAAAGTATAGCCTGGATGAGGAATACCAGGGACGTCCAGCCGAGATCACCGGTGCGCGCCCACACGGAAATATCGTATTCCCGCTTTGGAACCAACGAAAGGTCAAGACACTACATCCGGAATGACAATCAACATGTTGTCACGAGGTTCAACAAGAAGACCGGGTGACAGGCCGAGGGAAGCGGGGTATGGGCAACAAGATCGCAATTCTTGCGTGACAACTCCTCCTGCGTTTGGTTGTAAGGGACGCGTTTTCGGAAGACGGGCGATTCATATGGAACTCGGGGATTCGGTGCGCTGGTGTGACATCAGCCAACTAGAGGGAGTACCAGTGTCCATCAGTCGCACTGAAGACAATGATCGAAACTTATCTTCAAGTCGAGGGGTGCGGTGAAAAGGGCCAATAATTCGTGCCCATACAGCATCGTTTCAGCATCATCACCACCCTGTTCGACACTCCCAGTGATGCAACTGTTCGAAATTCTGCTTTGGGAAACCGGAATTGCCAGTTGTCGTCGGAACCGACGGTGTTGAAGCTTCGGTCTGAGAACGACGGGCAGGCCGTGATGTTTCCCTGGACTCTGTGACTGCATCTATAGATTACTGGGCACACACCAGGGACCATGGCTTCATCAAACCAATGTTTCCACGACCGCGGAGAACGACTAAACAGCGCCTACCAACTACACCAGAACAACGAATTCCAAAACACCCTACAAGCCACCTATTTACAGTTGTTTGTTACAGGATGAAAATGTTGAGTGGGTCACGTGCGGTCGGCTTCCACGACCGCCTTCCGTGAGGCTCGGCTTCGAAGCAACGACTACATGGTCTCTGGACCAAGCTTGATCCGCTGGCGGACACTCTCTACCGGTGACAAGAACACGACAATATTATGCCTACTCTCGTCACCGGTGGAGAATGTCCTCCGTCGGACAATGTTTGATCCAGTGGCCATCTGGTCTTTGCAGTCAAGGCTGAGTCACACGGGGGGAGCGGTCATGGAGGCCGGCCGCAGATGGCCCGCTCAGGTATCATTACCTCCTGCAACACGATAAGGGTTGATTGACCGCCTTGGGGTGTTTGTGATGTGAGATACTTTATCGGGAGGGGGTGGAACAGCTGGCCATTGTCGTCGTCGTGGTCACTTGAGACGCTTTGCAAAATATCCCCGCCACCTCCCCTCGCTCGCATGAACCCATCTTCCTTCAACAGAGAAAACTTCTGTTTGAGAACGCGAAAACCTATGGCGAAAAGGGCTTTCCGTAGGAATTCTGAAGGGTAGTATTATTCTACCTTGTCGTCTCTGTCAGGTAGAGGCAATGGAAGTCCAACTGAAGTTTCGTTGGACGCTTTCAGTCTAACTGGAGCCACCTCGAACGCCACCAGCGACACGCGGGCCAAAGCAGGTAGGCCAGCCAACGTTACTGGTGTCGACGGTAGCATAGGCTGGCCTACCTCCTGTGGCCATCGCGTATCGGTGGTGGTGTGCAGAGCAGTTGGGGTAGGACTTCCTTTCCTCGTACCCGACGGAGGCAAGAAAGAGGCCCCTACAAGTACGCTTTCCTTCAGGTATCTTGTGGGAAAATGGATTTTCGCCAGAGCTTTTTACGCGTTCTAAAACAGGAATTTCGTCAGGTCAGGGAACAGGGCTTTCATGCTAACGAGGACGCGTGGATATTGAGGATAACCTGAAAAGATTTCGCACTGTGCGGGGGGATAAAATCGCACAATACAACGAAAATAACGAAAACAGCAGGTGAGTACTGTCGTGTCGGGGGAAGTCGTAGTGCTATGGCGAAAATACCTTTCGCCAGGAAATCTGAAAGGCAGTAGTATTGGCCTCCTTGGCATCCCTGTCGGGTAGAGGCGATAGATGTCTAACTGGAGCCACCTCGAACGCCACCAGCGACACGTGGGCCAAAGCAGGTAGGCCAGCCAACGTTGCCGGTGTCGACGGTAGCATATGCTGGCCTACCTCCTGTGGCCATCGCGTATCGGTGGTGGTGTGCAGAGCAGTTGCGGTAGGACTTCCTTTCCTCGTACCAGACGGAGACAAGAACGAGGCCCCTACAAGTACACTATGCCTTCAGGTATCTTGTGGGAAAATGGATTTTCGCCAGAGCTTTTTACGCGTTCTAAAACAGGAATTTCGTCAGGTCAGGGAACAGCGCTTTCATGCTAACGAGGACGCGTGGAGGGATTTTTGAGAAGAACCCGAGAAATATTGCGCAC